CAGCGCTGTCAGGAGTGTACCGTGTGCTCTGCATGAGCGGAGGGCAGAGGCTCGGTACGCACGCACACAGCATGCTTGAGAGCGTGACAGGATCAGGCGGTTCCGGGGAGACCGCAGTGCTGTCAGGAGTGTACCGTGTGCTCTGCATGAGCGGAGGGCAGAGGCTCGGTACGCACGCACACAGCATGTGTGGGCACAGATTGGCTATGGACTCACAATCCAGCTGTATGAGGCACATTTACACTTCATTTTGAATTTGGGGAGACACACTTGTTATTTTTCTCCTAATAACAAAAATATTGCCACAAAGGCTGGAAATTACAAACCCAGGATGCTCTCCATGGTCCCTCTTCACCGAGAGAGGACTAGCTCAAGCATGTCGTACACGTCGGTGGCCATCTCTGCAGGGTGTCATTGTCTCCCTTGTTACCATGACAGTGTAAAGAGACTCCCATGCGCCAGGAAATGCCATGTCCATCTTCAGTGGGAGAGGGGCCGTGCACCATCAAACTCAATGGTTGCATTAAATTTTCATCTCATTTGCTGCTCTCTTACCGGCCACATTCATAACCTAGCCCTCTACCAGGCGTACAGCAGAACTAGGGTGTGTGCTTGGAGAGGTAGCGTGCGCTCCTTCACCCGAAGGAAGATTGGATCTGTATTAAATTGCATGTTAATGGAAAGCCAAAGCAAAGGATAATAGGATGACAACTTTGGGTCGCTATTAAGTCTGGATTGCGGAATGTCGTTTTGCATTCATCATAGCCTCGGCTACGATTTCCTCTGAAAACTTATTCCTAATTACATTAAAAGCGATACATTCTGTTTTTCTACTGATGTATTAGTACATGTGGCGGAGTCCCTCCATAAAGATGGAGGCTGAGGCTGAGGCCCCTCCATAAAGAGGGAGACCGAGGCCAAGGCCCCGCCAAAAAGAGGGAGGCTGAAGCTGAGGCCCCGCCATAAAGAGGGAGGCCAAGGCAGAGGTTGGGCGTGAGGGGGAGGCCAAGGTGGAGGTCAGGCATGAGGGACAGGAGACCCAGAGCCCCAAGGATGTGGCCCAGAGCCCCCCCAGGGACACAGCCCACAGCCCCCCCAGGACACAGCCCACAGCCCCCCAGGACACAGCCCAGAGCCCCCCAGTGCCGCGGACGGGGTTCTGTCGGGACGACGGAGGACACCTAGGGGAGGAACCTGGAATAGGATGGGGAGATGGCAAACAGACAACTCACACACATTAGGAGTGGATGCTGAGTGCTGAGTGCGATTTAATGCAGAGGATAACAAACTTTTATAGCAAAAAGTCTCCATAAGAAAGGGCAAAAGGTTACATAATCTTGCTACAGGGCTTCATTCTTGGGCGGTCACCAGCTGGTCGCCTGATAGGCACTTGTTTCTGGCTTATCTCTAAGAAATATAATGGGTTTTGATGTTTGTCACCAACTAACCATTACCTTATTTCTATAGAGGCCTTAACTGTCCCATAAGATCTTTTCTGTTCCTTCTTTAATAGTAAACACCAAGGAGACTTAGATCTAGCAAGTCTCTTAGTAAATGAAAGAGTAATAGGAAGTTCTTTCTCCTAAGTAGTTATCTCAGCAATTGCCATACATTCTTTCTGTTCTAGCCGCGCCTACAGCTTTTTGTAAATCTCTTACAAACAATTCCTTCTGCTGAAGTGACTTTGTGAAACCCCCAATATTTTTATATTTGCTTATGGCTTGTCTACTAGCCTCCATAAGAGGGGTTTCAGGGTAGCACTTAACTCTGGTGAGTTAGTCATATTTTTAAGACACTCATCAGATATTGGAGTCGTCAACACTCTTAAGAAAGAGCTTTGAATAAGGGAATGTTGACAATGAGTAAGTACAATGAACAGCAGAAACAGTAAAAGATTAATAGGCACTCTTATGAGGAAAAGATAGGCAGAAACACATCTTTCCCAGGGGTTTGCCAGCCTTTTTCCAGGAGTAGGCCTCTTCGAAGCCCTATTCTCCGAGGTAGACTTCGGTGAAGTCCCAAAACTCAGAGATAGGTCTCTGAAGCCCCTATCATGGTCTGATAGATGGTTTCCCATGCTAAGCAGACTCTACTGGGGTCAGCGTGGCACCCCAGGACACAGCCCAGAGCCCCCCAGGGACACAGCCCAGAGCCCCCCAGGGACACAGCCCAGAGCTCCCGAGGGACACAGCCCAGAGCCCCCCAGGGATGTGGCCCAGGCCCTTTCCTGGTGAAGGGCATCAGGTGGTGGTGTTCCCACTGCAGACCTCTGCGGCTGGGCTTGGGAGGAGCCCCTGCTCGCTACCTGGTGTCTGTACGTCCATGTTGGGGCTCAGGCCAGCGACCCCACATGCTCCAGCTGTTCCTGGCAAGCTAAGAATCACCTCGAGTTGGGGCAGAGTGGCTTGAGGAAGGTCAGCAGAGACCAGGACCCAGCTCCACGGTCCCTTCCCACCGTGGAGGAGGCTGGTGTGTGGAGGAGGCTGGTGTGTGGCGGAGGCTGGTGTGTGGCGGAGGCTGGTGTGTGGAGGAGGCTGGTGTGTGGAAGAGTCTGGTGTGTGGAGGAGGCTGGTGTGTGGAGGAGGCTGGTGTGTGGAGGAGGCTGGTGTGTGGCGGAGGCTGGTGTGTGGAGGAGGCTGGTGTGTGGAGGAGGCTGGTGTGTGGAGGAGGCTGGTGTGTGGCGGAGGCTGGTGTGTGGCGGAGGCTGGTGTGTGGAGGAGGCTGGTGTGTGGCGGAGGCTGGTGTGTGGCGGAGGCTGGTGTGTGGCGGAGGCTGGTGTGTGGCGGAGGCTGGTTTGTCGAGCCTCCCTTCCCACCATGGAGGAGGCTGGTGTGTTGAGCCTCCCTTCCCACCACGGCAGCGGTCTGTCTGTGGCCCAAAGCCACACTGCGCAGGGGCTGAGCCACCCACTGCTTACCTGCGATGACTCCATAGTTAATGCGTGCGTTGTAATGCACCAGCTCACCAGGCGATATCACCAACTAGATGCTACTTTTCAGACTTCTTCTGCTGAACCAGAACACGAAAATCACACAGAACAACTGCTACGTTCAACCAAAGAGTCGCCAGGAAGTGGGTCTGGGAGCAGTGGGGTTGGAGCAAGGGAGGAGAGGAGGGGTGCGATGGGCTGGGGAGGGGGGTGGAGGGATGGGTGAGATCGTGGAAGGACTGACGCAGATCACCAGGCCTTGTGTTCCTAGGCTGCTTTGTTACATTGCAATTCCTCGTAGAAGATCCTTTCCTAAAGGAAAAAGACGCCACTAAGTTTTCCCCACTAGAAAAGTCCCTACCTATGGCGAGTGCAGAGCGTGCACCTAACCCTCACAGTGGTGTCCGGACAGTCCCTGGGCACGCCAGGGCGTCAGCCTCCTGGTAGTGGGAGACTGTCCATCAGGATGCTGCCCGGAGTCCCCGCGCCTGGCCCCATGCCTTCCCCCACCAGCGCTGACCATCTGTCCGTTCCCCACAGACCCACCCAGCGCTGACCGTCTGTCTGTCCCCTGCAGACCCACCCAGCGCTGACAGTCTGTCTGTTCCCCACAGACCCGCCCAGCGCTGACCGTCTGTCCGTTCCCCACAGACCCGCCCAGCGCTGACCGTCTGTCTGTCCCCTGCAGACCCACCCAGCGTTGACCATCTGTCTGTCCCCTGCAAACCCAACCAGCGCTGACCATCTGTCTGTTCCCCACAGACCCACCCAGCGCTGACCATCTGTCTGTCCCCCACAGACCCGCCCAATGCTGACCGTCTGTCCCCCCCGCAGACCTGTCTAGCACTGACCACCTTTCTGTCTCCCGCAGACCCACCCAGCGCTGACTGTCTGTCCATTCCCCACAGACCCGCCCAGCACTGACGGTCTGTCTGTCCCCCCCACAGACCCGCCCAGTGCTGACCGTCTGTCTGTCCCCCGCAGATCCGCCCAGCACTGACCGTCTGTCTGTACCCGCAGACCCATCCAGCGCTGACCGTCTATCCCCCCCGCAGACCCGCCCAGCGCTGACCATCTGTCAGTCCCCCCCGCAGACCCGCCCAGCGCTGACCATCTGTCTGTTCCCCGCACACCCACCCAGGGCTGACCGTCTGTCTGTCCCCCGCAGACCTGCCCAGCGCTGACCGTCTGTCCCCCCCACAGACCCGCCCAGCGCTGACCATCTGTCTGTCCCCCGCAGACGCACCCAGGGCTGTCTGTCTGTCCCCCTGCAGACCCGCCCAGCGCTGACCGTCTGTCTGTCCCCCGCAGACGCACCCAGGGCTGTCTGTCTGTTCCCCACAGACCCATCCAGCGCTGACCATCTGTCTGTCCTCCCTGCAGACCCGCCCAGCACTGACCGTCTGTCTGTCCCCCCTCAGACCCGCCCAGCACTGACCATCTGTCTGTCCCCCCCCGCAGACCCGCCCAGCGCTGGCTGTCTGTCCCCCCCACAGACCCGCCCAGCGCTGACCATCTGTCTGTCCCCCCCCGCAGACCCACCCAGTACTGACCGTCTGTCCCCCCGCAGACCCGCCCAGCACTGACCATCTGTCTGTCCCCCCGCCGACCCGCCCAGCGCTGACATCTGTCTGTCCCCCACAGACCCGCCCAGCACTGACCATCTGTCTGTCCCCCCGCAGACCCGCCCAGCACTGACCGTCTGTCCCCCCGCAGACCCGCCCAGCACTGACCGTCTGTCCCCCCACAGACCTGCCCAGCGCTGACCATCTGTCTGTCCCCCGCAGACCCGCCCAGCGCTGACCATCTGTCTGTCCCCCGCAGATCTGCCCAGCGCTGACCATCTGTCTGTCCCCTGCAGACCCATCCAGCGCTGACCATCTGTCTGTCCCCCGCAGACCCGTCCAGCACTGTCTGTCCCCCGCAGACCCATCCAGCGCTGACCATCTGTCTGTCCCCCGCAGACCCATCCAGCACTGACTGTCTTTCCCCTGCAGACCCATCCAGCGCTGACCATCTGTCTGTCCCCCGCAGACCCGTCCAGCACTGACCATCTGTCTGTCCCCCGCAGACCCGCCCTGCCCATGGACGCCGGCGCCCGCCTTCAATGAGGACAGGTACTCCCCCGCGCCCCGCAGCATGAAGGGGCTGCCTGCCGGCCGGAGCCAGCCCCCGCTGTGCGCGGGCCACACCTGCGGCCTGGCGCCCCCGGAGGACTGCGAGCTGGCCCACAGCC